TAGTTGTGATCGTTTGATAAGATCAGCCGAATTGGAACCGCTGTGCTCTCTCTCTCTCTCTCTACATCTAGTTTACTCTTTAATCATTAATTGATATATTGTTTTAATTATATCAAAATGTAGAGCACCTGGGTACAAACGTGCATGTGTTGGTACAATGGCTAGTCATTCAAAAAACATCTCAAGTCAAGCAAACGACGGCAGCGCGCAAGCAATAGATGAAAATGGTAATCCTATTAATGTGACCACAAGCATCATTACGACCACCACCACGACCATGGTGCAACATCTCATGAATAGCGATATGGCAACTGATGCGGTGATTGCAGTTCTAAATATGGTAGAAGCGATTGGTGTGGTTTGCCGTTCATTGGTTCCAATGATCGGTAGACGTGGTTCGGATGCAGCGGCTAACCAACGCCAGGCCGGCCCTCAATGTGTAGTCCATTCTGTGCCACAACAGACGCCCACTCATGGCATTCACACGGCCGGAGATAATGTGGAGGCCGTGTCCGCACACATGGATGTCGACCCCGAAGCTGAACCAATGGATATCGATGTTGAGCATCAATAGACATATCGATAATAATAAGTAATTATTATTATGTCTCCCGAATAATATGCCATTAAATGTATTTTAAGCCAAATTTTAATAGTTAGTAATTTAACAATCATTTGTTTTATTTTGATAACCAAATCCACAATTAGTTACATTTATTCAGATATTTATAAATTATAATTGTCTTTAAATATTCACTATTATATTCATTGTTATTCTCAATTTGAGGCCTTCTAAACGCTAAATCCTGTCTCAGTGATAATGACCATGATCAAATCAATTGTGATATAATCATAAATCCAATTAATTTTTGATATAATATGAAAATTTAAAGTTAACTTTTGTAATGACATTTTTAAAAATACTTAATTGACCTAGTGATATTATTTTTGGCATTTGTTAATGCTATTAGTTTTTTATGCAACCAATACTCCGTTTACTGTATTATTTATTCCAACATTTAATAAAAGGCAATATTAATATTGAATTAGATTATATTTTAATTGAAGAACTAATGATTTTCTAATTTTTTTAAACATTATACATTGTAATGAATTTAATGTAAACAAATACATGATTGTTATAAGTAATTATTTGAATACCACCGAGAGTTTGATCCATGCATTGATCGGAAAGCCGTGACATTCATTACACGTATCATTTGAATGATGTGAAACAGATTCTGATGGACAGCAAACAAGAGTTATCAAACATTAAGTTTATTGGCTTTTAATACTGTATTGAGATTAAAGTTAATTTGTTAACTATTTGTATTGCATTGTCTGTCAGTTTAAAAATCATGTATTAATTAATTATAATTTAGGTTTTATTATAAAAATTTCAATCAATTTTATATTTATTTTAATAATTATTGCGAAAGCATTTCATGTATGAAATTGGATACAAATTAAGTTATAATTAAATATAGATTTGATTAAATGTTTTGGTAAGAGTTCTGATGTTTAGATTTGCACTTTTCATTCAAAATAAGGCAAACGAGAGTCAGATCTAAACAATCATTTCATTGATTAAGATTTTTATAAAATTTTAAAATTAAAATAAATATGTATTTTATTTCACAATTCACTCATTAGAGGGGATTTATTACAGACAACAAGTAATACACATTTAAAGCATTGATTGGTTTATAAGTGGCATTGGATTTGAAATTTAATGTTGAATTGAAAAATAAAGTGGTTTACACTGTTTACAGGTATGGCAAGTATGGCATCAAATGAAATGATTTTTAAGACTAAAGTGGTCTTAAGAGTGAACAACTTTACCGATGTGAACACCCATACAGTGAGCGAAACGGCTCATTACGAGGAATATCCCTTCGACATCGGACCCGATGAATGGCAAGTGGACATCAATAATGATGATCTCTATGAGGAGATCGGTGTTGATCTCAAATTAATAAAGAGTACAAACGAGACAATTGACGCCCAATTCATGGTTTATATACTGACCGCCGATTGTCAGCGACTGAACACCCAATTCATTGAAAGGCAACCATTTGACCAGGAAGGTTTGGATGCATTTCAAATAGTGGTTAAGACATCGCAACTATTGGATCAAATGGACACTTATTTGCTTAACAATTGTCTCACAATTGGTTTCGATATCACTGTTTTCAAGACAATAAATTTCGATTACGCGAAGAGATTTTGCTTTGAGAAGCATTTTAATAATAAAGAGTTGAGTGACTGTCGACTCCTCGTCGGCGGCAAAGAGTTCTTCGTCTGGAAGGCTATTCTCATGGATCGGTCGCAAGTGTTTTATAACATGTTTACGAATGATATGTCGGAGAAGACAACGATGGAAGTGATTATCGATGACATCGAACCTCAATTCTTCGAAGAGTTTCTTCGATTCTTGTATTTCGGAGATTCCGAAAAATTAGATCTCTGGAGCGAAGAATTGCTTTACGTCTCCGAGAAGTATATGGTTTCAGAGCTGAAGACTATTTGTCTGAATTTATATTATCTCCGAATAAACCCGAAGAATGCGTTCCAAGTGTTGGAAGTGATGAACAAATACGGAAACATTGAACTGAAGACAAAAGCGATTGAATACATGAAAGACAATGTGTTCGAATGTCTTGAGACTCAATGGCACAAACATTTTGGCAATAATAAGGAACTCATTGAACAAATGATGAAACATATGAAGAGTGATCCCAAAACTAAGAAGGCGTCCGAAACTATGGTCTATACATATTTGTCTTCAGTTTAGACATTAATTGAACACATTATTTGCCGAAAAACTTCAATTCAATCATAAATTAATCACTCAATTAATATGATATCTAATTTTGAAACTAAAAACTAATTACTGTATACTTTTAAGTGAAAACATATTACTCTGTATTTCAATACAATATCTCAACGATTGCCACAATAAAACTTTAATATTGAAAAATTCACAAATTATTTAATTTATTAATTAAAACTATTATATAATAAATTTAATATAAATTAATACACGATTAGAAATACAATGCATTAAAACAACTATTTTTACACACATTTGTCTATTAAAATAAAATAAAAATCACAAAACTTTATGCTTTAAAGTCTGTTCAGCGCTATCTCTATGCAACAGAAAGTGTGCCTGAATTCTGGCCATCGATACGGGCGTCGGGTCTGACCGGACGTGCGCTAAGAATTTATCGGTCATATCCTTATCGTTGGGATAAAACCTAATAAACGCTCTTCGGATCTGATTATCAGTTGCGTTGTCTATAAGCACTTTGAGGTCCACACGTCCGGGTCGGGTCAGTGTGTCGTCCAACACATGCACGTGATTTGTGGTCATCATTACTATGCGGGCATCACTACTGACCACACCGTCCAACGCGTTCAATAGGCCAGAAGAGGTCACTCGTGTCAGGCCGTCATAGCGGACACCATCGCTGGCCTGCGGGGCTCGACTCACGACCGCCGCGTCGATGTCTTCCAGCAAAATGATGGCGTCTTTGGGCGCAGTGTTGAGCAGTTGTGTCAGCCGGTCGTCAGTGAGCGACAGATCCGATACATTCAACACACATATGGAGTAATGCAAGAGTCCGGCCAACGAGAAGATGAGCGACGACTTGCCAGTGCCGGGCGGGCCGTAGAACAGATACCCGCGACGGTATGGTATTCCTCGCGAGTGATACCAATTGGCAGATGTGATAAAGGCGTACAAGTCATTAGTGATCAACTCAATGAGTCCGTCGGCCAGTATTACCGACTCTATCGGGCGTTTGGGTCGCGAGTGACCGAACGGTCGCCACTCGTGTCCATAGGCTATATAAGTGGCCGTTTTGTCGCGACTGTCGGCGAGTGCTATATCGCGCGCGTCGGCGAAGATGTCGGCGTAGATCTGTTTGTCGCGGCCGAGAGTCGTGAGAGTGCACACCTCGTACGGCATGCCGGCCAACGCGTCCATCTGTTCCCGTCTTCGTTCGCATTTGAATATACGTCCGCCGAAGCGGAAGAAGTGTATTCCCGGCGCCGGAACGAAGCCGAACCTCGAGCTGACTCGTCCCGCCTCGTCCTCCACGAAGTCGGTGCTGACGGCCACGTGTTGTGCCCGTGAAGACTGGCGACTGATCCACGCGAGTAGCCATTGATAGGACTTGTCTTTGCTGTTCACTTCACACGTGGTCAGAGCGTACCGCTGAAGGCCATGGGCTGATAGCATGAGACCCTTGCGAATGATGGCCAGACCGGCGGTGACGCCCACGAGACCGAAACCGGCGCCGAAGTACGGGTTGGTCTGGAGTGAGGCCAACAGTTCCCCGAATGCCATATCGTTTGCATGTGTTGTTTGTTTGGGTATTAAATGTTGTTTTTGTTTATGTTTTTAGCCGTAAATAACGTACGCTTTGAATGACTTGTGGTTTGTATTGTGTTTGCGCTATAAATGTATGCATTTATCGCTGTGGTTGATGTCTGGGGTCTGCGTTTGCGCTGACGTTGTCTATGGCTTTGTTTCCCATAAGTTATGCTTAAAGTTATTTCAATTGTTAACTGTTTGTTGAGTTGAAGCTTCAACTGTTGAAGTAATGTATAGTTTTTAATGACAGTTAAACACATTAATAGTTAATTATTTTATTTGCAAATGAATTAAAAATATAAAACACTTTATGAAAAATAATGATTAATACTTTTATGGATGAATTAATGGTATGTTTTGTATATCGAGTATATCGTAGAAAAAATAGACTTTAAAATAGTGATTATGAGTTCAAATAGTTTTATATTTAATTAATTAACAAAATTATATTAAGTGATAGAAAATTTGTGGTTTAGATAACAGAAAGTATATGTTTTATAATAGATTTGTACAACAATTAAACCAAATTAATAACCAATGAAAATGTGTTCACAATTTGTTCAGTTAATGTGAGATTCAATGGTTTTGTGTTATAATGAAGAGTATTGAGTAAATTATAATAATTGAGATAAAAATAGGTTTAATTGTCATTCAGTCAATCATATGAATAAATGCCGGGTTTGTATGTATAGGACATGGTTTGTCTGCTCTTCTCATTGTCTGATTTCAGATCATTCACTAATACAGCGATCAGTTTGTCGTTATTGCCCACTATTTTATGCCACTCTTTCTCAAGACATTGATTCAGTGTATCCTTAATATATTTAGTGCTCTTCGCGACCAACTCTTCGTTGCCGTATCTCTGCATCATATCTAACACTTGGATCGCATTCTTCGGGTTTATTCGCAGGAAATATAGATTTGCGCAAATAGTCTTCAGATCGGAAACCATATACTTGTCGGACATGTATAGCAATTCTTCGGGCATTTCTTGTAATTTTTCTGTGTCTCCGAAATACAGGAATCGATAGAACTCTTCGAATACATTGGCGTCGATGTCATCGATGAAGACATCACTGGTTGTCTTCTCCGACATATTAGTGGTAAACATCTTATAAAACACTTCCGACCGATCGCTGAGAAGGGCTTTGGAGACGAAGAACTCCTTACAGTTTTCTCCGACAACGAGTCGACAGTCGTTGACGTCTTTGTTATTAAAACTGTTGCCTAAGAGTCGCCTCCGTTTGGGTCCATTCATCGCCTTATAGACAGTGATGTCGTACTCAATAGTGAGCGAACCGTCGCACAGATATCTGTCCATCTGATCCACGAGTTGCGAGCGCTCGACAAACTTGAGACCCAATATGAATTCAGAGCCCACAGTAGTCCTGTTGGCCACGCATTCAGCCAATGGGTGGCCATCTCTGTCGCGGACGTAGGCCTTGAACTCGGTTTCGATGGTCGCGTCGCTGTCGTCGACACCAAACACACAGATATAGAGACAGACATAGACTTCGCCGTCGATGTCCTCCAACCCGAGCGATACACTCCACACGTCGTTACCATCGGTAGGAAAGTCCAGCGCTTCCGACACTATCTCGTAGTCGGGAGTATTCACCTCCAGTTCAGACATCGAATTGATAAAGTGGTCGATTCTGAAGACCACTTTTGTCTTGTAAATCACTTCATTTGATCCCATCGTTGGCTGAGATGTGTTGGCACTTAAAGTTGTTTTTATGTTCAAAGGATTTAAATTATTCAAATTGTCATTCAATGCGTGCAATNTTCCGACACTATCTCGTAGTCGGGAGTATTCACCTCCAGTTCAGACATCGAATTGATAAAGTGGTCGATTCTGAAGACCACTTTTGTCTTGTAAATCACTTCATTTGATCCCATCGTTGGCTGAGATGTGTTGGCACTTAAAGTTGTTTTTATGTTCAAAGGATTTAAATTATTCAAATTGTCATTCAATGCGTGCAATGAATACATGAATAATGTGTTTATATTTAATAATCCCCTAAATATTGTTCACAATGTGTTTCAATGCAAACGTATGGCTGTTTTGAATGCCATTCAAACACGTTATTGACGTTCAGATTAAATAGCATTCAAAACATAAACAAGTTTTTCTGTTTGACAACAATAACAATGCATTAAATGTCAAAACTTTTGTCAAAGTTTTGTTACAACTTTTGATTTGTTGTGTTATTTAATATTAAAAAGTTTTCTATGAATAAAATTAAAATGTTTAATAAATTGAATCAAGTTTTAAATACACATTTAATTACACTTTTATTCATAAGAAATTGATATTTAAATCAATAGTAAATAACATTTATTATAACATCAATTAATTTGAAGAAAAACTTGTTCCCACTCTCTGACGATTTGTGACATTAAAACTATAGGATTTATAAAACAAAACACATATTAAATAATCCATAGATTAGTTGATCTAATTATTGTGGCCAACAAAAAGTCCCCAAATCTATGTTTATTGCAATCGTAGACCAGTCCTAATGTGGCAAACATTCACAATGTTATCAATTATTATTACATTAAAGTAATTGTCGATAAAAACAATACAAATGTGTAAATAATTGTAATACAAATATATAGTCATATTTAAAAGTGACAAAAATACTAATTAAAGGGAATGACAAATAGAATACATATTAGAGGTATTTGTGGTTAAAATAATGATAGTTTATATTTAGATGCATTTAAGTGTGTAATAGGTATGTATAGGACATGGTTTGGGTGTTATTATCATTGAAATCATTGACGAGATTACCGATCAGTATATGATCTCTGGTATGATTGACAATAACATTACGCTTTTGTTTCTCAAGACATTGTCTCTCAATTTTCTTAATATATTTCTTACACTTCTTAATCAACTCTTCGTTGTCGTAGTCCTCCATCACTGTCAACACTTGGAAAGCATTCTTCGGGTTTATTCGGAGATAATATAAATTCTCGCAAATAGTCTTCAGCTCTGAAACCCTGTATTTGTCGGAAACATAAATCAATTTCTCCGACAATTCAAACAATTTATAACTGTTTCCGAAATACAGGAATCGAAGAAACTCTTTGAACACTTCCGGTTCGATGCCATCGATAATCACTTTACTGTTTGTCTTCTTATTAGTGGTAAACATATCGTAAAACACTTGCGATTCTCCGCTCAGGAATGCCTTCGAAACGGGAAACTCTTTCCCTTTGACAACAAGTGTACAGTCGTTGAGCTCTTTGTTGAGGAAACTGTTGCCGAAGTGACGCCTCCTTTTGGGTCCAGTCGTGGGCTTAAAGACAGTGATATCGCACTCAATGGTGAGACAATCGTAGGGCAGATATGTCTGCCTTTCATCCAATAGTTGTCGATATTTGACAAACTCTTTGGGACCGTTCGCGACGTCCACACCATAAGTATGTCTATTGAGCGCACAGTTTGCCAATTGGTGTCCATCGCTGTCCCGGATGTATATCCTATGCTCGGCGTCGACCGTCTCATCGGTGGTGTCACACAGTTTCACATAAATGACAACACATTCTTCCGCTTCTCTGCTCTCCATTTGAACAAAGAGTTGCCATTTATCGGATCCAATGCAGAACTGGTCGCTAACAATGCCTTCGCTTTTGTCCATATGTTCAACCATTCCGATGAAGGAGTAGATCCTGAAGACCACTTTTGTCGCGTAAATCACTTCAGTTGATCCCATTGTTGTTACAGCGCTTTGTGTCCACCAAAATGTGTTTGAAAACTGGGTTACAGTTGTTATGACTTGTTTTGATTATATGATGTCGTTTTGGAAGACCACTCTTCTATTGTACATCACTTCAATTGATCCAATAGTTAGGAGTGTTTTGTATTTGAAAAGTGAGTTAAGGTTTTGTAACAAAACTTTTGTCGACATATTATTCAATGACTCAATGCATACAATGAATAATGTGTTCACATATAGTAATCCCCAAAATATGGCTTACAATGTGTTTCAATGCATTTATTAAGACATTATTCAAAGCCATTCAACACATCATTGATTTTCTATTGAAAACACAGGAATTTTGTGCAAAAACTTCAAAATTGCAAAAAACTTTAATAAAAACTTTTTTAGTTTTAAATAGTTTTTTTACAAATGATTTAATGGATAAACATTTTATTAATTATAGAAATGTTTACAAAAGATTAATATAATTTTGAAAATAGTTTAAGTCTTATATAATATAATAAATTGATTTCATTTCAAAAGTAAGGTTTAATTTTGAGTTCAATTCAACTTTTATTGAGAATATGTTAACAATATTTACTGAAATGGGAATGAAATCAAATTTATTGAAATTATTGAAATGAAACGCGTTTTGTATTATTAAATAGATTATAAACTTAGAGTTCAGGGAATATATGTATAGCACATGGTTTGGGTCTTATTATCATTGGATCCACTCTTCAGACCACCGATGAGTTTAGCGATAAGATTGTTATTATTTCCGACAACTTTATACCACTGACTCTCAAGGGATTGGTTCAGATTCGTCTTAATATAGTCAATACTCTTCGCCACCAACTCTTCCATTCCGTATCTCTCCATCACTTCCAGTACTTTAAACGCATTCTTAGGATTTATTGAGAGATAATATAAATTCCCAAAAATATTCTTCAGGTCTGAGACCATGTATTTGTGGCAAACGTAAAGCAATTCTTCGGCAAAGTCTTCAATTTTATCTGAATTTCCGTTACATAAGAACC